CTGATACGAGAACGTAACCTTGATACGACCTTGAACGACCACTGATAGGGGAACCTTGATTATACGACCACTGATACGAGAACGTAACCTTGATAATACGACCACTGATAGGGGAACCTCGATAATACGACCACTGATACGGGAACTTTTATAATACGACCACAGATACGGGAACTTTTACGATACGATCACTGATACGGAAAAGTAACCTCTATAATACGACCACTGATACGGGAAAAATAAGGACAGTTAGCATATACCAACTTGTGTACTTCCTAAGAACGCGCGCGCTCATTGGTTAATTGGAGGTGAATATTGTACGATATTCACCTCTGAATCTCGGAATATTGAGTCGGCAACAAAATGACATCTGCCGGCAATCGTTTTGCTACAATTGAGGAAAAATTGAAATCATTAACTATGCCATTCCTATCCATACTAAAAAGGCAACGAAGTATGGCCTAAAAGTTTTGCTAAAAGTTTTGCTAAAAGTTTTGCGTGAATTTGTCACGCAAACTAAAAATTTCTGTTCGTTTGTTTTTATTGAATATAAAAATAATTACTCTGTACACAAGTTGGTATATGCTAAAACAATTATTCGTCTCAGGCTCAGTGAAGATGGAGAATATTTACCTCGCCGCTCGAAGACTCGCGTCTCGGTAAATATTCCCCGATATTCACTTCGCCTTCGGCGAATAATTGCTAATTATGCGGACACTCGGATAACGCGATCCTCATAAGGAGCTTCGATGATACGACAACTAATACGGTTTCCCCGATGACATGAATACCTTTTCTTGTCCCTATCGGTCTTTATGACGGTTTGACTTGCAGATGCAGCCTGTACATAGAAAAAAGGGGTTTTATAAATGTTACCAAAAGCTATTTGCGTCATGATCGAGCACTCTCACGAGGCTCAAATGCACGTGGAAATTGATCAGTCCTAAATGACGTTTATGTTACCATGGTTGCCTTATAAGTTTGGATGGTGGCCTGCGGTGCTACCGTCACACTTAAGGGACTCCGCTCCCAAAACAGCAGGATATCAAAACGTCTTGTGAAGTCTTTTGCCAGATGGAATATTTCATGTATTAATATATACCGATGAAAAATGTTTTTCTTTTCTGAATCTATACTGTATACGTATGCGCGCTAACTGGCATGAGATTTTTAAAAGAACCGAAGCCTGACTTATAGTCTTTATTCAATGCATACAGTTCTGATATATCGGATATTAATGAATTATATATATTCATGATTTTAGTATCGGGCCTTGAATTTTTTTTAAAATGTTACTCTAATATATCTTTAATGATATGTTATTCCATTCAAAAAATACTTTCTGTGTCATACTTCGGGAATCTCGCGGGATATTCTAAAGCCTTCAAGGGCCTTTTTTGTTTCAAGAAAGTAAAGCATTTACTCTAAGATCTGCCATATTATCACACATTTAAAAACCTAGGCTGGTGTGCTAGAGGACTCTAGTGAGATCTAAGTTTTAATCAATTAGATGCCGGTCTGAGACAGATTGACGAGGGGAGGGGTGGGCCGGGAAGGTGGTAGTTTTCTTCCGCATAATATTTTACAGTCTTCAAAGATTATTTATTTTTACGCGTTAGGGTGCCTATAGCTGCCCCTCCCCATCTCCCCTAGTAAAGATACGATAATCCCCCCGAGGGAGGGTGGCAAAGTAAGACGGTAGCTGCATAGACTAGAGCATAGAGAAGAAAGGTTTTGACAGGTTGTTTCCATGTTGATGGGTTGCAAGCATTCCCAAGAGAGTTAAAAGACAAAACCATGACGGCCATTGTGGTACTGTTAACAATGGATGCTAATGAGAAATCTTTTGTTAAATGGTACCAACATGGCAGCGATGACGTAACGTGCAAACAAAGAATGAGCAGATACTAATCTGGTTATCGAATTCATACCATTTTGTGAGTATTTCTAGCTGCCATAGTAACCGACAAATCGAATTAAACCTTAGTCGATAATATACGTATATATGTGCAAAAACATAATGGCATTAAACACGGCATGATGGAAACAGATAATACATCCTTATAATAATCGATATACAACTTTCCTTACTCCGAAAACCAGAAAAATAATCTATATTTTAAAGTATATACGAGCACTATGATAGATGGACAAATCGTATCAGGTTGAACTTGACAGATTAACGTGCTTAAACAAGCGAGAAACATGAAGCGATGCATATGTTAATGAAAAAGATGTCATATATTGCCGAGCGTGACCTTCATGGATGAGAATTTTGCGTTTCAACAATATTACTACTTTCACGATGACTCATAGAGCATCATCATCATGATTAATCTTTCTTTACCAAACATCTTGCTACTACTATTCCTGATTTTCACCGATATTTTTTACTTCTATTTTTGTTTTCTCATTGAAGAATTTCTCTAGGAAGATCTAGAAAGTTCTTAGTTAGCGTTGACTTTTAGCATGGAATTGGGCTTTCTGCGCTGAAGCAGTTCCACGGTGACGTCATTCGAATCGTCATCCTCTGACGTCACATTTATTTGTTTATACAATAACATACATGTCCATGGATGTAAAATTGTTTAATATAAACGTGTTGAGAAGCAAAAGGGGTTCAGTGAAGCAAAACTGTATGAGAGTGAAGGATCAAAGTCTGTCAAAAACAAATATAAGTCAGCTATTTCCTTTGCCATTGTGAAAAATTCAGTCAAGGGGTGCATCATTTTTTGCATCAAAGCTCAGCTCAAATTTACGTAGCCTCAAGATGCTGACGTTTCTTCCAGTTAATAAGTTCACCAAAGAGTTTGAAAGAAGTAATTTAGAGCCGTTAAGTCCAATAAGCCAGGCTTCATGGAGCTCGGTAAGAAGAAACTCCAAAGGTCTTACACCATCTTTACTGCATGCCTATGAAGAACAACAACAAGAAGAAAGAAAATACAAGCAAGATTTTCAACGAGCATTTTCTAATGTTTATGGCTCAGTTTCTCATGACATTGCGTTTAACACCATATCCATGGACTTAAATCGATTATCAAGGACTGTTAGAGTACAAGAACCCGGTACATGGGGCAATCCCTATGCCGTAGAGGGAAAGATTCTCCTGTAGATGGAACTTTGAGAATTTAATCCTGAAAATAATTGAAAAGTGACAAGGCTAGTGCAAGAGCTAACGTAATTACGAATGTAAAGATATTGCATCGCAAGCGCTGATCTCGCCTCAGGCCTACATGGTTGGCTGGTCCAATCCCATCATGCTTTGCAAATCTTGTACCAGAAGTCACCCTACACTGACTTCATCGATCGAGTAAACTTGTTTGTGTATTTGTCGTTATAAATTTGTTCTTTTTTAAATCTTTGTAAAAAATATTAAACTTTTTTTGTGTGCTGTCTTGTTTACTTTCTATCAAACTTCGAAATATTATTCATTCTTTATTAAATAATATTTACTATCTAATAATATAATATTTATTTATTATTATTTATTTGATATAAAAAAGCTTCATGCTTTATAAAAACAGTAAAATGGTAAGCTTCTGGCGCTATACGGTTTTAAAACGCATAGGTCGAATACTGCCTCTAACCTTAACTCTGGTAACTCTTACGCTACCATGGTGCTCTCCCAACAATCCGCGTGCACCATCAATAGATTTACGCAC